TCAGACGATTGACTAGTATACATGATTCGACTCGTGTCTCATATGCTTTGCTGAATGTAGAGAGGATTAATTTCAAAAATTATTCACGTGATTTGCTGCTGTTAAAAACTTTGCAGTCAGCAGGCAAGCTGTTGTCCTTGCTTCCAGTTAAGTAGTTTTTTGGAAAAATTCATGGCATGAAGAATGCGTAACAACCAAGTCAACAACCAATCAGAACCGAACTGCACCATCTCGAATTTTCCCAAATCTCTGGGCAGTTCATCAGATTTGTAGTGAACATTAATGCAATCAGATAATAATTCAAACGATACCAAGGAAAAATAGATATTCTTACTTCTTGATAACGTCTGCATAGAGAAACGTATTTTGACAACCACCTCGAGTGATAGGAAAGGGAAACACAATAAATATTAGCCATTTAAAAGTGAATGAAAAAATCGCTTTATCCTATCGTTTTCGTCTGAACGGACGATCACGACTATCTACAACTCACGGAGAGAATCACTCAGACGGCATCAGATCGCTGGTCTGCGACACGCAGATAAATCCTCCTTGCTATGACATCATTCACGCAACACTGGACTGTACAAGGTAGGTTAATACTGTCATGAAATCTGACAAGCTTTCTGCTGAAATGAGGGCCTGGAAGTTGTGTAGAAACCCGCTTCTTTAAATTGAAATGATGGTGTTATCTGCCATTCCCAAACGATATCTCTTTCTAAGAAGGTCAAGCCTTCTTCCGCCGTTACCTCCTACTCGAATGATTGAGACGTTTTGAATTTTACCTATATATGCTTGGAATTGCACAGCAAACGTCACTGACATGAGACAATTTGGAAGGATAGCGGAAGGCAACCGGATCAACAGCCGACTGGCCAACTGGGTCACTGAGTTAAAAGGAAAACCGCTCGAAACAGTTTTTGAACGCAAAAGATATTGTCATGCTCCTTATGTTTATGCAATAAAATACATACATAAACACATGCATACATTCATGCATACCTACTTAAATGTATGCATAAACACATTCCTACATACTTATATACGTTCATGCAATAAATCGTACATACCGAGGTGCTGAGAAACGTCAACATTATGTTCCGACTTAAACCTTGGAACAAATGCGAGTGATCGTTCTCTCTTTTGAAAGTTGAGACTTGGCAGATTTTGCTAAGCCTTTTATGAAGACTAATATGGCCATTGGTCTGCACTATTTCTTGCACAGTATTAGTCAGATTTTTCCTACTACACGATTACCTAATGAGTAAAGACATCCGTGACACCCTGATTACAGCTGCACTGCAAATGAATTATTTCAAGATTTGTGCTGAGACCTAGAGGTTAAGAAAAAGCGCTTTATCATTCTCTGTCATGCCACGTGATCTTATGCTCTGATCAATGGAAAAAAGCTCATGGTTTCTGTTCCATGATTCGGTGCAGTGTTAAATGGAACGTTATGAAAACTCCTAGTTTATTAGCTCAGAAAACATTCTAGTCCCATTGCAAAGGTGTGAGCTTACGAACAAAAATAAATTGGCAGAACACACACCTTAGTAAACATAATATAAATTAAAGCTGTTGTTTCTACGCATAGATCAGAAAGAGGACTGCCGATACTTCGACGCCTACGCGGTGGCATTCCCAGTATGGCTCTAGAACTGTAAGCGGTGTCGACTGACATTAGATAAAAAAAACAGGTATGGACAATAAAACTTGTGTAAAATCTGTCGGAATCCCGTTTCAATATGAAACCAAAACAGAATAGACCGTCTATAAAATTAGAATATTATTATAGTTTTTATTTGGTAATCGCCTGCGATAATTAAGGCTTGGAGCATTGCTGCCTAAACTTCACAAAATGTTTACCTTCTGGTAATTCGTTGGACTGAATTTGGGATAGTTCACTAGACTGCGAAAGAATCACTCATCAACAAGTACTCAAGAATAGACCAGATTGAAGGATCGATAAGAATTTACAGAAAACGAATTTCATTTCCTAAAAATTAACAGAAAATGTATACTTGCCAGCAGTTGGAAGAAAGAACGCCCGTAAATTCGTTTACGACGTTGGAACGAGGTTAGGCAACCGATTAGGGGATGACGCTTATCCACCAGCCCATAAAAAACCTTCTGACAGCAGTGTGGACAACAATTCCTAATTCTGCTATTCAACGTACATGCGCGATTACGGAAATGACGGCGTACCACTTTTGCCGGTGCTGACAACTGCCAAATGTTAGCGGCACCGTGCACGAATCGTCGGGCGACATTAATTGCCCATCCACCACTGAGCTGCCTAGGAAAAAACACCAGTGGTTTGACAAACGTTAATCATCATCTAGGCGTGCAAAACACTAAAGTTAGTGAAGCTTGTTTGTAATTAATGGTGTTAGCAACCACATTTAAATCATATGACAGCCTAGTAAAGGGATGATCGTATTCCGATAGGCTAAACATGTTTTAGTCGCCTAGGATCAACTAACACCTAGATGTGTCGATAACCAGCTGCTTCCTTATTTATATTCATATATAATAGAAACGAAACATTCAAGGGGATGTTTGCTGAAGATCAAGTGATCATCATCTGGCTCTCATGCACGCAGTTTCTGGACTATGATAGCTAGTATTGCTGTCAAATGTATAACTCAATCCCAATAGCTTATCATTTGATTTGTCAATGCTCAGTGACTTAAAACAATTTCAAGGTTACATCTTGCACGGGTGTGTGTTCTTATTAGTTTTATATGTTATGTTAGATACATAATATTTACCGTTTACTTATGCTGTCCATAATTCCACCTGCGGCAGGTCCGTGGGCAGAGGGGCTAGGCCGGAATAAAGAACTGCTGGCTGCGTAATAAGAATTTCTTTAAACCATGAAGACCTCTCATAAATGCTGAAGCAGTTGGCCAACGTGGCCAAGATATCAATGGGTATCAGAGTATTTTATGATATTTATGACATTAAAGAAGAACGTTCTAAGTCAAGGCTGTTTACCTATTGTACCAGTTACCCTGAGCCGTGTGCGAAGGAAGAACGTTTATAGCACGTAATTTCCACTGCATCAGCAGCTTCACAACTTTTTTTCGCAATAAGGCATTAGGTACTGCGTGACAAAAGGAACAATTCCTCTTTTAACCCATAATCTTCTTCAACATTGCATCATGTCCTCCTCGAGGACGCCTAAGTCCGCTTCCCACAGTCTCGCGAGCCAGAGTAAATGGTCCATGTTCAAACAGCTTTTCTAACAGGAATCACCTCCCTTTTCAATCTCCAATTTATGGAGATCAGCTGTGCGAGAAATACTATAAAGTCATTCGTAACGCGGTCCTTTCAGTTAAATCTGATTGTGCGTCAAAGCCAATGTCCCTGCACGATGTTCAACTGTCGTGCTCGATGCAAAGTTAAGGTGGGAGATGGATTCTCCCTTCTCAACCCAAATATTGGATTGGTTATCAGATGCACTGGAGAAAAATGCGATCCTCCTATTTCAATCTGACTAGGCGATGCAGACCCTGACACGATGAAGCCGAGATACTTAAGTTTTACGGTAGAATGAAAAAAGGAAAGGTAAGATTTTGGCAGCTTCATCGCCGCGATATCACCCCCACCCCCTCAACAACAGTCCCCAAGCGAAAGTCCTGCGAAGAGTCGGGCTGATAAAGACAAGATATGTGTCCGTCGTTCCCGCAGGTCGGCATTGCATCATAGCTTAAAGATAACTATGAGACTAAAAAGAGGTCTAATCGAAGCTGATTCGTCTGCAGCGCATAACCAAGAAGGAACCATCTGTGCCTAACATCTGACTGGCCAACTGGAACACGATCAGGAAAAACAGTCAAGTCCTGGAGACCCATTGGCTTAATGGCAGAGAGGAACACTGTAAAACAGCAATTTCTGCATACTGACAGATTGAGAACGAAGTGCGCATCTACAAAAATAAATCTCTGTGTCAAGGAGCCGCAGTCGAGTGCCACGGATAAATATTTTAAGGTTTAAAAGTTTGAAACCTCACAGACTTTGTGCATGTGCTGAAATAAATGATTACTTTCTGCTTCTGATTCTGGCATAAACAACTGACAGAATTTTAATCTCTATAGCCGTCCTCAAAAATCTGAAATGTTATCAAGTAGTTTCAGCAACACATAAGAACAGGAACCCATGTTACCGAACTTACCATAAAACACAACATCCCATCTACATAAACATAAAGTCAGGGCACATTATTGATCTGAAATCTGCCCTGCCGTTCTTTCTACGCCCACCTGATTTTATATTACAGATGTCTGTCGACCACAAAAACACTACAGCGCCCCACCGTACTGGTAAAGCATACAAATGTCACAGATTTACGCAATCAGACAAAATTCAGTAAAATCCACTATCAGTATTTCACGCTTTTCAATGACTCTATCATACTGCAAATGGCTCGTACTCCCCAATGTGCAGTTTCATACTCAGCAGAAGATTTTGAATGCAAATAAACCGCACCGAAACCTGCAAGGCAGTCTTTGCAGTTTGCCAGTCACCAAAAGTGACCTTCGAAAATATGACTTCATTATGTCAAGACTCTTTAACGTTCGAATAACGGCTGTTTGTTTTAATTCTACTGTTATGAGCCTATATATAGCCTATACGCTAAAGCTAAACGCAGAAAAACATTATCTGTTTTACATTTATTTTGTTTCTCATGCTCGTACATGCCTGTTCGCTGAAAATCAATGTCGAATCAAATTTACTGTGCATCAGTTTTCGAAAGTAGCATACTGATAAAGCGAACATAAAGCTATTTCCCCGGCTTCACATCCTCATAAGGTTCAAAGTGTTGGATTGTACTGTCTTCAGCCTTAGAAAAAAAATTTCACGGTATTCAGCCGCAAGATCTCGATTTGCTTTAACGTAATGATAGATGTTGTGCGTGTAATGTTGCAAGCTTCATTTAGGGCAGTGTTCGATTCACATCACGCGTTCTTTTGCTGAATATCATTCGCTCTGCACTGTTAGTAGCCGTCATCTTTTGGAGGCCGTTGAGATGAGGACAGTTTGTCAGGAATTTCTTTGCCAGCAATTCCAAGACCAAGTAGCCATTTCAGGAGGAAGAACTCCTTCTCCGTTATCTTCTGGTCATTGTCACAGTCCACTAGCTTTACGATATGATCAGACGTCGTCCACGGAAGGTGACAGTTGTCTATAAGCGGCTGCACCTTCGACAGGTCCACGAATCCGTTCCGTGGACTCAGTTCTGAGAATTCCCTCGCCCAGCCCTCCATCTTTGCCAGATTCGCGATCACTTGCCAGTCCGCGTTCGACTCTTTCGCAGCACCTACCGGCATTTGCTGTGGTTGCAGCCTCCCAGATTTTGCCAGCTGAATTGCCTTTTCGCTTGGCAAAATGTTCATCATCTTCGTAATGTCGTCCGATAGAAACTCTTCGATCTTCTTTAACTTTCCCTGATCAGCTGTTTTCCACAATTTCTTATCCAGCTTCTTCAATCGGTCAATGTATTCAACAACCGGCAGTAGATCGTAGGTTGACAGGTTGTGTTTGTCGACAAAATAGGGATATGTGTGAGTTCGAAACCGTCGCAGTGCCAGCCTTTTCAACGTGCACCACTTCCGCTTGCACAGCTCGTTCATAAGCAGTGAGTGTAGTCGAACCTTAAAACATGATTACTGGTATCATCCTGAGCCATTCATGCCCTGTAAGTACAACGAGCTTAACGAATAATTCCCCTAAAAAAAGTTATTTCGCCTGTTACTTCTCGGGATTAACGTGGCGTAGTTATAGAGTCACAAAGCTCCTAGAAGCGTAGGGGACCGTTACACAATCCTCGATTCAAGGCAATTTATAACCCGTAGTGCACAGATCCGAAACCACATCAGGAACTAATCTGTGTAGGAACCTGTTCAGACACCTCCCGCTGTCCGTGAGTCGTTCTACATCGATTCATAGAGTAGGAAACATCATTAAAAAAATTAACCATGCTTCCAATCGCGGATTCATATGGAAACATCCGTAATAATCATGCCAAGGACGGCAGTGTTGTCATCGTTATTAAAGGTTAGCAGAGTGTGTAGGAATAAACATGCTAGACCTTTAGAAATAGTATCTCAGGTCGATAATACGCGACCTTCACTGCATCGACAAAGATTATATATCTTGGACGGCAGGCGATGCACTGGCATAGAAAACTTTTTCAGGAGGATTCTTCATCAAACAGTATCCATATTATTTTTACTAATCATCCTTAATAAAATATCTGAACCGTCTCTGCATACAAACCCTATAAGCTAACTTATTACTTATTTTGCATGAAAATTTCAAACTTTTGCCCCTGTTCTTTAATCACCTTCATTGTGCGAATTTATGACATATCGAACAATTTCTCCTAAAAAGGAAAATATTTTTCAGTGCCGCAGAAATTAATGAAATTAATTTATCCTGATACAGAATTAAACAGACAACACGTAAAGGCGGGGAGATAAAGAAACAACTGTGCTTTTAAACCTTCGGAAAAAGATTTATTATATTTTTGAAAACCGTAAGCTCGACCAGGTACCTGCTAGAAGAAAGTAATCTAGCGCTAATCTACGTTTCAAGGTTAAAAACATGCTTACAGTAACTAACAATGTTATTTATTGGCCATTTATGATGCAGAATAAAGATTTTAAAATATCACGTCGTAAATCTTATTCAAAACAACTTAAATGATTGTATTCAAAAATTCTATTCAGGGGAATGGTTTCAGAAAGAAGTCTGAATCAGATTAGGAAAATACTGATCTAGATTGTACATCTGTAGTGAATTTCAAGGAGAGGCCTCAAAAACTTAACAGACGTTAAACAACTTGATGCTCTTACTCTTGCTTCCCAGGAATCAGCAGAAAAATAACTATACACATTAACCACGTTAGAGAAAGCAGCAACCCGAGTCTTTAGACAGTAAGGCGCCAATGCTTGAACAGACAGATATATGGATGGATCGATAGAGAAAGATAGAGAGGTACAGCTTAACGGATACATGTGTGCATACACAGAAATACACAGCAAGATGATTAGACTGTTCAACAGTTGTGTAGTTCAACATTACAAGACTAAATGATGTGGTACTTAATACCTTACCCCCCGAAGGGTAGGTCACAATAATAAATGAGACCTCAAATTTTCGATTCTGGGCCAATAGTTATATAGATGGGTGTTTCATAGATTCATGGTTCAAGTAATCAAATGCAAAAGATGCTAAAACGTCCATGCCTTTATTGCATATAAAGAGTCAATCATCCAGGAGCGATTTATTCTTTTTAAAGAAAAATCTGTCATATGCTTCAGCATCACTGAATAATGAGCTAAAGCTTCGAGAGGATTCTCTGTGTCTTAAATAATAGTTCCGTCTAAGAAGCCTAAGAAAAAAACATTCCGATCAAAAGCCCGGAAATAAGGATTTAGTGCTTTGTTCCGATTGATTACAAAGAATTGCAAAAGCTTCTCCAAACAAAGGATGAATCATGAACAAGATCTTGACCATGCTTCATTAACTGAATTAGAAAATCAAAGACAAGTAACACTGTTCTCCTAATTGATTCATCAGGGCCTGAGCAATCAGGAGCAATAGTATTATAGAAACCTTGTTCCAGATATAACGAATTATCTGAATGGAGAGAATTGCTTGTAATTGTTCTAGTATCGCTGAATCAGGAAAATCATAAACCATTAATGGATGCTGAAGCATAAAAAGGGAGGAATAAACGAAGCAGAGAGTGTGATATCTTTCATCTGTTTCCTGAAAGGCTCCTCATGCATGCCTGCATATCAGATACTCGAAGAAGGAAAAAAAGCAACATCATTAACAAGTTTTTAAAAATAAATTTATGTCTTAGCCAGCAATCAGATGCGTCAAGACGATCAGACAGCATCGCCATGTGTCTCGCATACTTTGGCGTGACCATATCAAAGCACCATGTTGTTTCTATAATTCGCAGGTCATCGAACTGTTTACCATTTTCAGCTGGTTACACCGAAGCACAATAGGGCGAATTTCTTGCTGAAGGGAATGAATAGATACGAGAAAAAAATTCACGCCGCGCGGCGCTTTTCATCTTTTACTCAAACCTATAAAACAACCTACTGATCAACTGAACCATAGCTCTCAATTAACCCAATTGAGTCATTACCTGTTGACAATTTGTAAGACCGTGTCGCTGAATATTGTTTGTAGTTGATAGCATCAGCCGAAATATTGATTCCGTTACGAAACGTTTTACGCTTTGCGTATCATGAATAAAATCTTAATCGATTACTCATGGATCAACCCATATTGTCAACTACCCATGAAAATATCTCTAGATATTCGCAAAGTTATCAGTCTTCTGAGAATGTGCTTTGATGTTTTTTGATATTTACATTAACGTGATTAAGTATTATAATATAAGCAAGAACTTGTATGTTTGTAGCCGTAACTGAGATATGCTTGATTACGTTACCTGTTTCGCACGTTTCACGATATCGTTCAATCGTCGCACATACACCGTTCGAGGAAGCTTCCGAAAATCGTCGAACAGTTCCTTACGGTCAGCGTCGAATGTCTCCTGATACTGTGCATGTGTAAGAGGCTGATCCCAAAACGACCCCGTGTACAACACGGGAACCTCTGGCCGTTGCATCGTTCGACCAAGAGACCACATAAGCGCGCCACGAACGCGATTCAGTGACGTAGGGTCACATGAGTCAGCTTTGTTTAGGATGATCTAACAAAGAATATTCGATTAGGTTGGAAATTTCAGAAGGTGTACATATTTAATCTTCCAGATTTTTTCCAACGACAATAATTCGACAATTATCAATGTATGCTAAGGCTTGCATTCACTAACATTTCTGCCCTTTAAGGTCGTCTTTGGGCTTAACGAATTTGTCTGTTCGCATTCTTCGCAAAACATCTTATATTTCTTAGGTGTTATTGCTAATTCATGTGTGTTAGTCGGGATTGCATGTTGAACTTGAGAGGAAAAACGTTTTACGATGCACCAAGAAGAAATAAGCCTGCCTTACGGTAACATGGAATCAAAGAGCCATTTTCTCAATGAACGATTTGATACAATCAAAGAAAAACAATCAAAAAAACAAACAACAGGTAACGGCGTCTGCGATGTCGCTGTACGAGTGAAGACGATGAAAGGACAATGAACAGGACATGTTGTAAAAAGAACCGACCGTCGCTGTACCAACGAGACCCGTTTCCAAGAGAGCAAGTTGTGAGAAGAAATTCGTTGGAACCGGTCAGATATGAATAGCAGAACAGAGAAATTTATGGGGAAGTCAAGTAACTGATCTGACTGATAACCAAACCGGGAACCGACTTTAAATCTTAAGTTGATGAGAAAACGGATGTACCTCCTAGTTTTTTCGGATATGTTATCCGGCTCTATTATCTCTTCACTATGATAGGGATTAACCTTACGTTAATAACAGCCAGCTACACTGCAATTAGCGTTTTCTCATAGCAATCGACGCAAATATGATTCTAATGATTTCGAATAAATGAATCATACCTTTATTTTTTCTTCGTTCCTTTGCAACCCTGCGATTACGCGCTTAAGTTCGTCTGAAATGTCCAGCTTTTGGGCATCGAACATAAGGAGGATTATATCTGCTTTATCGCTCAGGTATTGCACTACTCCCTCGAAATCGTAGCCGCGGTTGATTCGTTGTTTCTCGCCTGACAGAATGCCTGGTGTGTCGATGATCATCATATGTCTCAGCAGATCGTTCGGACAGAAAGCCGTAATGCATTTGCGCAGGAACTTGTCGCTGAATTTCTCAAGACCTAAATGTTTGCACAATTACATAACAAACCCAGTTTATTTATTCAAAATAACCGCGGGATGGACGACCTGATCATAGAGAAGTTGTATAGCTCTATCATATGCAATGTCATTATGAAAAACGGAAGACGCAGTACCTTTCAGTGGAAAATTTTCTTGACTGATCGCAGTCACGCCCGGAATCCGCCGTGGGTTATCTCCGTACTGTATGACCACAAAATCGTCTGTTGTCGGTTCCGGTCCAATTCTCATGCCCGGGTAATCGCCGTTCATTAAATAACGGATAAATGATGTTTTGCCTACGGAATACTGCCCGATGAGCAGAAGGCACGGCACACTGCTCAGTTCGCCTGAAGTCAGGGAAGGAGAGTAGAAGTACTCGAAGTTGCTGACCTTCTCCAGTGGCAAAACCTTCCTCTCGTAGTATTTCTTCAAGGCTGCATCCAAACCCAAAGCTGACGGTTCTTCAAGCTTCAGGACGTCCTCAGTTGAGTGCGTTTGCCCCATATTCGCAACCAATAGTCAGCGACTGCTCAACTGCAGTTTCTGATGCACAATGAATCATTAGTGTACACTGAGTCGTGCAGTTATAAATCATAATCGAGTAAAGTGTAAAATAATATTAAACAGTTGATTGTTCAGAAGGAAAACCTATTTTAAACTCGTTATTTGAATCAGTCTTTATATTACTCGCAAATAGGATGAAGACAAAAATGAACCAACAATGATGTTTGACGTCATTTATAGCCTTCC